CAGCTTCATCGAAAAGGGGTACAGAAACTCTCAAAGAATCGCATAGTTCTGGCTGAATGGCTGACTCAACAACTCCAATGTTCTTCCATTCAGGTTCAGAAGTAAAGTCAGGGCAAGAAGTGGTTGGGAGTTCAAAACTCATAAGGGATTTACCTTTGTCGAGATTTTTGAAAGACTCATAGAGTGATGTTTAGTTTGGTGATGCTGAAGGAATAGGAGGTGGGTGAATAATGATGCATTCATCATTTGGTAGGGGTACGGATATGTCAACAAGAAAACAGTCACTTCAACAGGGCTTCCAGCCATTATCAGCGACGAGTCCCAAACTCAGGATGATCATCCCGTGGTAAACGTGATGACGTATCACTGGGTTGTAGGTCCAGGTCTCCTTCCCTCCATGATCCTCTCCCCATATCATTGCCTATTAGAGATCCATCTGTCACACAATCATGCAAGACATACAAGAAGAATACAAAAACAAAAAGAAACATAGCAAAAAAGGTGAGTCAATCACCAAAATTCAATCCATAACAAAAAATGATGATAATTACGAAAAGGAGCTAATAGGAAGTATTCATCTTAAGTTACTCATGAAAATATCATACAAACATATTATAATTAATTGTAAGGTCAGGAAAAATCACTAAATGAAATGCATGCCGCTCGCAGAATTTTACTCTCTTGAATTTCCAACTACCCTCCAGTCAAGGTGATCAAATATCCTTATTCCCTGCAAGTACACAAATACATATACAATGATACCCTTCCATTCATTTAACCTTTATTCCTCAGTATATTCAAGATGGAAAGTCATGCACGTGTATGACTCTTTAAAAAGAAAGGGAAAACAATAATAAATACAGTAACTTTTCATGTGAGTACAAAACAAAAGGTACATATTCTAACTAAGTAACTATTAAAAATATCCACAAGGCAGTCATGAGGTTAACTCCACATGCATTTGGTTTTTAAACCAATAAATAATAAGTCAGAATTTAAGTATACCACGAATTATTTGAAACTCAAGGTCAAAAGTAAAAATTTGATTTTAAAGAAATAGGTTATTTGTTTCAGTAAAAGAAAAGTTTGAAAGAAAATAAGTTCTATTTTGATTTTTATCTAATTACCTTAACACCATTATAAAACATTAACCCCCTTTTTACCAAAAAAAAACTTTTCATAATAAAACTCATTGTAAACTTAACCAAATTAATCGTTGTGCACGTTTGTTGATTAAAACTTGTGCTTTTTCCTCTAAGGTGTAAACTGAAAAGAAAATAAGTAGGATTCATGAAAAATTAACGTGCAGCAGGGTATAGTTGTATAAACCGAAAGAGAAAACAAGTGGGTTTCATGAAAAAATTAGCATGCGACAAGGTATTGATTCTGAATCACTCATTACACTCAACAGAAAAACAGGTTTACACAAGGATCGTGAAAACAATAGGCAATCAGCAACATGCAAACACATTTCACCCATGATTGTACCCATGCAAGTCACAAAATGTTGTTTAATGGTGTCATTCAAACAGAAATGACAAGGGATGAAACAAAAACCATTTGCATGTAGTTTTAATGGAGACTAGAGGTGAAAACAAAAGGAAAAAGGACACATGCAACACCCAATAATCATGCATTCAAATGCACACATTCACACGCATACAGGGACTCTCCTTACCTTGTTGGAAGCGAAAATAATAAGAAAGTTGGAGAGTTGCCCTCGTCGTTTACGATGAAGCATCCACGGTGTAGTCCCACTGTGGCGGTGTGAGCATTGGAAAGGAAGGTAAGAGTGTGGGGTACAAAGAAGGTTCTTCGTATTCCTTCAATCTCCTTAGTAGGTTTCGCGGTAGTGAGGAGGTGTTTACGAAAAGAGAATAAATGAGAGTGAAGAGAGTTTAAATATGACAAGTATAAGTTGTATGGGTGAGGGAAGACATAAGGTGTAAGTCATGACCTTTCGCCTCAATAGGTGTTATAGCCAAGGTAACCGTACGCAAGAAGTCAAGTTGCACTCTCTCTCTCTCTCTCTCTCTCTCTCTATCTCTCTCCATCCACTACGTCCTTGAATAGGTGTAACTCTTCGTTTGCCCTTGATTTGTGCCCTAAGGGTTGCGCCTCTTTTCGCTAATCACACCATGCAGAGTGTCATTATTGCGAGTAATAAATGCAGAGTAAATGGAGAAAGTAGGAAGGCAGGAGTAAAGGCTAGATACAGGTTTCTAGAAACAAATTTCTTAGGAGAAAAATTCAAGTGGCTGATTGGCGTCGATTAGGACACTTATTAAATGCAGACCAGAAGTTATTAAGTTAGTTGAGGAGGGAAATCATTATGTGCCTCTTCGTATTCTTCTGAAAATTTAAACACAGGTAGAAGACAAAATAAATGGGGTTTAATGACGAAATAAATGAGATAATTGAATGGTTTTTGATTAAGCGTATTTAAGACACAATTATTAGAAAAACTTTCCACAAATAACCATGTAGTTGATGCTAATTTATAGTAAAAATAGCTGGTCATAATTGAGTGTATAGGAATACGAAAAGTCTATATTAAATACAAGTAATAAAGGCTTTTGATTAGGATCATTAAGGCTGATCTCTCTCTTAAACATAAACACAATTTTGGTTGCAGCAATTAAGAAGGCATAAGGTAAGTGCGAATGTGTCTTTTAGGTTCTCACACATGAAATGTAATAAGGAAGAGGAATAATTATTCAAAAATGAATGGTTAGCAAGTCTAAGGTCACATTAAGCTTGATGGTATATAAAAGGTTGGACTCCTAGTGTGCTTAGGTAGTATAAAAAAAAAACTGAAAGAGTTTTTACTCATTATGACTAGACTTAAGTAGATATTAATAAAGAGGGAGAGGGAATATGAACGATTACTAAGGGAAAGGCAAGAATCACACGTGCAATCTCTCTCTTAATAAACAAGAAGAAGAAGAAGAAGAAGAATAATAATAATAATAATAATAATAATAATAATAATAATAATAATAATAATAATAGCAATAATAGTAAATAGATTAAGAAAAAGAATGATAATAAATGTAGGGTCTACGCATTTCATGCAATCAGGAAAAATTAACATAGGGTTTCATCTGCTCTCCTAGGGTTCCTTAGAAAATTTTCCTTTACATGACTATGAAGACTTACATGCGTAGGAGAAAGAATACATAAAATATTATCATACCATTTCATAGAATCTAACCAATGCATGAACAAAATATAAGCAAGAGTCACGAGTAGCTAAAAGAAGAGAAAGAAAAATGAATTGATAATTAAACAACACATTATGATAACTAAACTCATAACAAGAATCAAATCAGGATAAAAGAAAATATAAAAAAAAAAAAGACAATAGCTAGCAATAGGTATTTCACAAAACTGGACTGAATTTGGGAATGTTACATCTTATATTTTTTTATAGAAGTTTAAATCAGATTCACAATATGATGTTAAAGAAATTTGTAAATGTATGATACTCTTATAAACATGAACATGACATTAGTTTCAATAATTAACTCTAATACCTAGTGAGCATTTTATTATTAAAAAATAATATTGACAATTTTTTATTAACTAAAAAACAATTTTCACACACAAAACTTGCCACTAGTAATGTTTTATTACAAAAACATTATTAACAAGTTTTAGAATTTAACAATTTTACAAACGCATAAAAATACCATTGGCATTTAAAAACAAAAATCATATCCTTGTAATTCATCTAAAAAAGCATATTCTAGCCATTATAAATTTTTACCATATAAGAAAATCTATTACTTTGTCTCACGCCTTTTTTAAATTGAGTATTAAAATATTTTTAAAAGGAACGCTCACATCATTAGAATAATACCTGTTTCTCCATTAGCGAGGTATTGCACAGTTGGATAAAAAATAAAATTTTATTTATTAAATTATTTATTAGGAAAGAATACATACATATATATATATATATATATATATATATAGAATATTTTTAAGCATATTAACAAGAATTTGATTGGTGATTGTCTGTACAAATTTTTTTATTAAAAAACATTATACTCATTTCAATAGTTTTTTTATCTAAAAAATTAGTGTTTGATGTGGCAAACAAATGAATATCATTGGAGAAAACAAATTTTCTCTATAATACAAGTTATTAAGGCTGAACTTTGTAATAAAAATAAAAAACGTTTTACCTAAAAATCTTCTAAGTATACATTAAAAATGGAATTTGCTAAAAGTTATTAATGTTCAGACCATAATAACTGAATTTAATTTATGAAAGAATTATATTTAAATAAATGTATTTTTCTTGTTTAAATTATGCTTAATATTTTAATAAAATCAAATATTTTATTCTGCGCCCGGATAAAAACTATATATATGGTTACGTGCTTGTCCTCATCATCAATAATTTTTAATTTGCACTTTTCTTCCATTTTTCTTACTGGCTCATGTAAATCTACGTCACACACTAATGACCCTATAAATGTACAGAGGTGTCCGTGAAGATTCTGGAATACCCATTCCTCACGTCTATGTGAAAGTGGAAAAGGGTCAGAATTCACAGATAAATAAGACAGAAGCGGCAGTGAAAGAGTGAACTTTATTACACTTTTACTTTTATTTCACCTTTTTAATATCTTAACGAAAATACACTCACAAAAAACATCGCGGCCCCAATGAGCCATTTTGTGTAAGTTTGAAAATAAATTGAAAATTTTGAAACGTACATACAACATATATTTAATTGTGTTCAAGTAAATGTCAATTATAGTATTTTAATATAAATTCAAACACATATTTAAAATGTATTTGATCATATACATATTTAGTTTACTAAAAAAGACGTTAATTTAAATTTTTAAAACTAAACTTAAGTAATTAATAATAAAAAATATTTATTATAATTTTAGATATTAAAGTTTTTATACGTATTCATTTTAAATTTGCAGGAAGTGCAGACAAATTATCCTTTTTAGTGGTAATAATTATGCATTCTAGTGGGCTTTCAGGGAAATTCAGTTTGAAACGTTAACTTGAACCTCTTCCCTCCCTCTCGTGTTTGCTTTCGTTGCCAAGTACTTGAGAGGACGACACGACAGTGTCGTCAATAATATGGACAACACAAACACGAAACATAGTTTAACGTCGTTTTCCTTTTGTCTCTGTTCTTGTTTCTTCGCACGCTTCGAATTCTCGCTCGGACGATGCCGTGTTTGGTTTGCTCTCACTTCCACTTTTTCTTCGTCTAGTTGTTGATGGAAATGGAAGGCGCTGACGTGGCAACCGAAGTCGTCGAAACGACGACGAATCGAGCTGAACAGAAGAATGAGAGTTTGAGAACGGAGATTGATACTTCGGCACCCTTTGAATCGGTGAAGGAAGCCGTTACCAGGTTCGGTGGTGTTGGTTATTGGAAACCTATTCACAATAAGATTGCGTGTCTCGCTTCTCATTCTCAGGTTCTCTCTCTCTCTCTCCTCTCTCTCTCTCTCTCTCTCTCTCTCTCTCTCTCTCTCTCTCTTAACAGCACTCCACAAGCTGAAATGCGTCCATTTCATAGTTTTTCTTTGTTTATTTCCCTCTGCAATGGAAAAGGTGGAGACTTTGTGGATGAAATCCGACACTACATGCATGGACACGGCTAATACCTTCTTCTTTTTTTTTTGTGGACAAACCATGCCAATGCTAATTGGAATACTATAGTAGTAGTTAGATAAATTTTTACTTTTATGATGATAAAGATTTATGCTCATTTTTAAAAAATAAATTTTCTCTTGTGGTTTAATTTATTATTTATGTTAATTTTGGACTATTTTATACATTGTATTATAGTCGTATCATGTACTTCGATTTTTAAAATTTGTCATATTTCAATGTTAGTTTTGCATTGTATTTGTATCACGTGTTGTGCCCATGCTTCTTAGCTTTTTATTGTGTTTATAAGATTCGTAGAATGATACGTGAGGAACTGGGGCTTTGTTGTTTTTGTGATTGATACTTCTTGCAGTGTATTTGGTTTCTTTTTACGCTGTTGTGGAAAGTTTTGTTTTTGTTGTCCATGTTTGATTCAAATGAAGGGGAGAAAAATAAAACCCCCCAATTTTGGAAGAAATTCAAACATTGGAGAGGAGGTAATTTGGCTCCCTCATCTCCCCTTTCCTCCAAATAAACAGTATGTTAGAGTTGTGCTTCTGTAATCGTGAGTAATAGTGAGGCCGATGAATTGTTGTTTAAGCCATTTGTAGATGGAGATTGTTATCAACATCTGGAAAAAAAGATAAAAATGCCATTCACATTTTCATTTCTTGAGTTCAATTTCTTTACTCAATTATCCTCTAATGTAGAGCTGCATTTCCCAAGATAAGAAGGCATTAACTTGGTGTATCATTCTGCTACATCTCCGTTTAAGACAAACTGGGATGAAAATTTGGCATAATACCGTCTATTGTGTGAATGTGTGTATTCATTTTGAATTGAACTTTTTTAAGGTCTTTGGTTGGGCTAAATTGTGAAGTTCAACCCATCACGTTCTTTTTTTAGCCGCACCACGTAGAAGAGCACAATGCTGAAAAACTGGAGGAGCAGGCAGCAGTGTTGGAGAAAGAACTGATCCAGAAAGAAAGGGAAACTCTTGATGTGTTGAAAGAATTGGAAAGTGCCAAAAGGCTTGTTGAAGATTTGAAATCAAAGCTACTGAAGGAAGAGGCTGAAGTGAATTTGAATCTTCAGATGAGCATATGTGATCAAACATCAGCTGTGGAGCAGAAAGAAAAAAAGGTTCTTCATCCTTCAAGGGAATGCTTTATCCCCAACCCTTCTTCTGCTCCAGGTTTAATACTAATGGAATTGAAGCAGGCCAAATTGAATTTAACCAGAACTACTAATGATCTTGCTGACGTGCGAGCTTCTGTGGAATCACTTAATAAGAAGTTAGAGAAGGAAAGAATCTCACTTGAGAAAACGCGCGAGAGGCTAACACATAATTCATCGAAAATTATTTCTCTTGAAGAAGAATTGAACCAGACCAAACTAAGGCTGCAAGTAGTGAAAGATGTTGAAACTAAAGGTGCTTTGGATGATCCTTCAGTTGTTACGAGAGAGCTCCAGCGATTGAGTTCTGAGGCCGAGAATTTCAAAAGGGTGGGAGAATCAGCAAAATCAGAAGTTTTGATAACAATGTCTGAGATTGAACACACAAAAGCAATGATAAGAACTGCAGAAATCAGATTAGTTGCAGCCAGAAAAATGAAGGAAGCTGCTAGAGCTGCAGAGGCCTTTGCCCTTGCAGAAATTAATGCTTTATCTAATCAAAAGACAAATCAGATCACTCTTTCATTAGAAGAGTATACTGCTCTAACATGCAAAGCTCAAGACGCCGAGGAACAATCTAAGAAGAGAGTTCAAGTTGCAATGCTCGAAGTTGAGGAAGCGAACTGGTCAAACATGGACATCTTGAAAAGGGTAGAAGAAGCCACGGAAGAAGTTAAAAACAGCAAGAAGGCCCTTGAAGAAGCATTAGAAAGGGTAGAGGCTGCAAATAGGGGCAAGCTAGGAGTTGAAGAAGCTTTAAGGAATTATTCTATGCATAACTCTACCAAGTTCAAGAACTCTTATCCGTCTCAGCTTGAGAGAGATTCGGGATTACTTGATGTAAATGGAGTGCATCTGGTAAATGATGAAGTTGAAGACAATCCAGTTCTAAAGCCAACCCTATCAATAGGTCAAATACTTAGCAGGAAGCTGCTTCAACCACAAGTGTTAGAAGCTGGAGAAAGAATCACACTGAAACGGAATGTGTCAATGTCACTGGGTCAAGTGCTTAGCAAACAAAATGATGATCAATTTATTAAGAAGCTAGTTGAGAAAGAAAATGGCCAGAAGCTGTTTTCTGCCAAGAGAAAGAAATTTGGATTCGCCCGATTCTCACTTCTTCGGTCCAAACAGCAGAAGAAAAAGAAGAGGCCAACTCTGAATTTGAGGTGATATATTGGTTGTTCAATTTGCCTTTCCATCTTACCCTCACAAGAGTTAGACTCTATTTGCATCTTCTATTAGTTTTCATCTCATTACCTTATTGTGCCTGCTTGTATATTTATTAACTACCTAGTTAGTAATGCACACTTCCTTTGCCTTCCTATGCTAGTTGTAGAGATTATTCATATGATTCATACCTAGTTTATTTGCCTAATTTTTTACTCGTTTATATAAAAAGGCATTGATACTTTAGCATCACTCTCGCAATATTAAGGTTCAATTATAAATTTAGTTTATATACTTGACAATTTTTTTAATTTGGTTTCTATTAAAAAAAAGTAAACATTGTCACATTAGTTCGTGCAGTTTAAAATGTAAATAAATATACTCATACAAGAACTAAAACATAAAATTTAACTATAGAAATTAATTTGTACACGATTATTGATTATAAGGACCAAATGTATATTCTAACCATGATTTTTTTTTAAAAATAGACTTATTTAGAAAAAAAAATGAGGTACCGAATGAAAAAATCATGAAATTTTGAGAGACTAAAAACTATACCTTCAAGCAATTTTATACTTAGTATCAAAATAGTAAATCTTTTTTTATTATGAAAAAAAGTGTATAATAATTGATGTACAATAAAAATTTATAATAAAAATATTAAAGTTGGTAATTGATTCATTCATTTGAAGAGATAATAAAAAAAATATAAAAAATATGTTAATTTTAGTCCTAAGAAATAAGTTTAAACAATCAATTATAGTAAAATTTTATTGAAAAGACAAATATTTATTATACTTTATAACTTTAATATAATGAATGCATTATTTCTCATTGAAAGTTTACTTGTAGAAGTAACTCAATCCTAAGAATTGAGATTTAAAAATCTTAAAAAATAAAGTAAATTTTTTATTAATAAAGAAACAAATGTCTTTTCAAAACAAAATCAAACTATAATACTAGTATATTTTTAATCCAGTTTGTTGTCTTATATATTTTTTTTTTAAATTATAATTAGTTAGAATACATATTTGTTTCTTATGAGACTTATTTTTCCAAACTAGATTTTATAATTAAAAAGTTATATTTGAGTCTTTATGAGTTTTTTTTTTGTCCATCTAGCTATGTTAACAGGTATTACAAGATAATAACTAATCTAAAAATTATTTACTTAAATAGAAAATCAATTATAACATTTTATGTACAGAGACCAAATGAAAATATATGTTAAGCAAGAACTAAATTTATAATTGAACATACTATTAATAACGTTAAAAATAATACTTGATTAACAATGAAATTAACTATGGGAAAATGCCAAAGTGTTTCTAGATCATTTCATTTTGAGATTTTTTTTATATATTTGAATTAAAAAGTAATTATGGAGAACTAAAGTTTTCAATTAGTGGGTTTCACTTAAGTTTTAAAAAATGCATAAGCAAAAATTGATTTTCCTAATTGCCAAGGGAAACAAACTATGGATAAAAATTTGAGTCTTGCTATAACTTTATTTAAAAACTAATGAATGGCTGAAATTTATTACTGTTACTTAATAATAAGCTTTCGTTATTTGGTCCATGAATATTAATTTTGAAAAAGTGAAAATTTGTACTGAGAAAGGAGAACTTACAGTTGAGAACGGAATTGGAGCAAATGAGTTGCTCTGCAGTAATATCAAATATCGAATCACGCAAAAGCTCAAGCGGACGGTGTTCTGCAAGGGAGAGAATGTGGTTCCATTGCGGCGAAGACACTTTATTTTATGTTGACGAAGCATTGCTCCGGTGAAGGCCACAGAGGAGATGAACTCGAAGTTGTTTGGTTTCATGATACGGTGTTGAGCCTGCACCAGCCGTTTCATGCGGACGTGAAATCCGAACCTTAATGACTTATACCTTTTATTCAAATGGGAAACAGGCTCATGTGCATGTTTTGAAATCTTGGTTGTGTTTCGATCTATAGCGATGAAGCTGTTTGAGTTGTATGGGAAAAGTGGGAAATTGGAAGATGGGTGGAAGATGTTTGATAAAATGCCTGAACGAAACGTTTCTTTTTTCGCTTCTGCGATTATGAGTTCGTGTTTTAATATAAAACTTCAAACTTCTAAAAAGTTATAATGTACTAAGGATTTAAAAGAAAATATAGAAGCCAAATGATGTGGGGATTATTTTGCTAATTGGACTTTCCAAGTTCACGAGGATGAGTTAAATTTTTTATTTTCCCTTTCTTCAGCTTGTTCCATTCTCAAAGAGGAGAATAACAGGGAAATCTATTTTCTAAGCATGAATATTGTCGTGGAATAAGAATCTTCGTATTTTAATGCATGTATTTAATTTATTCGGAGTTAAGAGATAGTTCACTAATAGATTGATGGATATGTATTTTGATTCATTCACATTCAAATTATTAATATTTAGAATTTATATTATGGAAGGAGATATTACTTTTGTTAATTCAAATTGAAAGGTGATATAAAATCAGTGTATTTCTAGTATTATATCAATAGTTAGCATATTCATTATAATTAGAAGCTCTAACTTTATATCAAAATCATAGTTGATATCGTTACTATTATCAATATTGTCATTGTTATTAATAAAAAAAAGTCTTAGACTTATTATTTAGAAATTTTTTCAAAAATACTATAATGAAAGGAACATAGAATAATTAATTCGAATATTATAGTCGGACTCTATTATGACTTTTTAATCATATTTTTTATAGGGCTATTTTATCTCTTTTTTTTTTTAACAATAACTGAGTTTATTATATGACAACTCATTATATTCATATCAATTTATTATGTACTCTTACATTTTGTATCGAGTAGATCTCATATAATAACTTTCATAACTCTATTATATCTTTTATTTTAGTTCTTCAACAATAATCACAAAAAATTTTTAATTGTTTAGATTTTTGCGTATTGATAATAAAAAGAAAAAAAAAATTGATAAACTTCTTACTAGCTATCAACTTAGGTAACTCATCTATACATTGTATAATTGGCTAATCCATGGTAGCTTTTCCCTTATGATATGGAGTTTCAATCACATTTATATTATTGACCATTCCAATATATGTTAATACAAATTTAGTTATTTTGTACCAACAAATTTATCCTAAAACTTTTATAATTCATTATAATTTATTTCACATCCAACATATAAAAATAAATAAATTACCTAATTCATCTCATCAATAATTACTTTCTAACTATTACTAGTACAAATACAATTGTTTAGCAATTATTCACGTGTTAAATATATAAACTAAGATAATAAAGCAATTAAAATTTAATATTAACTTTATACTAAATAATATTACTACAAATTTGAATTTTCAAACATTTACTTTCACTTCTATTTAATATTTATATTTTATTTATTACAAATATTATTTTTACTAAACTAAATTATAAATATTAATATTTTATGATATATTAATTGTAATTTTTAAATTATTTTTATATATTTTACAATTTATTATTCTTTTTAAATATATTTTTTAATTACTGTAATAATTAATATTTAAATAGACACTAAAAAAAATATAAAATTTGAAAAAGAAATTACTCACCTAATACTAGTCTTACTCTTTACATCCAATGTAATTTACATTCAATTTGGCTCTATATATATAACATGAAATTTAAACAAAGGAGTGCATCCACAATAATTATTGTGGAAATAAATAATTCTCCTAACACATGTTAACACTCGAGTAATATTGCTCTCTGACGAGACGAGCGATAACAGCCTCATACTTTGATTACTAACATCATCATCTACTATCGACTTTTAATTGGCTATACTCTTACACGAACACCATTATGTAACCCCATCTCTCTAATTTGAAACGCTGACCTTATTAGCGTGACCACGTGTCAATCTATGAGGTGGTATCACACTAAATGAGATAATACTAGATTAATAAAATAAAACAACTAATATATCAGACATGCAAATGTAAAAAATAAAAAAATTAATATATCAAACATGCAACATGCAAATGTGAAACACCGATTGACGTGGCAATATATATATATATATATATATATATATATAAATATTTTAATTTGAGAAATTATTTTTTAAATTGTATTATTTAAGTAAAAAAAAAGGCTTGGAATCATGTAGCACTGCTATGGGCGGCAAGTAAAGAAAGGTAGTGTTCCTGGTAATTAAAAAAAGTTTCCACTTGGATAGTGCTTTGCTTTAGAGTTGAGACTTAATTTTCTTTTTCACTTTTTCGCTTTTTAGGTCCTCTCGTCGAAGTCTTTGGGAAAGAGAATATATCACAGATTAAGGGTCTTGATTTTGTCCATCAGAGAATGACCCCTTGATTCTGACACGCGATGAATAAGGAAGAAGCACATATCCCTTCCGTGGGGCTCTCCTCACTGAAGCTTTCTCAAAGTTTCAAGAAATAGCGTTAGAAAGCATGTATGCAACCAATCAATACAAGTGAAGATAGCAACTCAATCATTCCTTGTTCCAACCAACACGACAATCCAAGTCCCAGAAAGGAATCATCACCATTTTGTTTCCATTCTTCTCCTGATTCATTCCTTGTTTACTTTATTTCCAGGGAAAATCACTCAGAAAAATAGTAATTTTTTTTCTTTTACTAGCCACTTACTAAAACTCACAATTAATCATTTCCCACCACCTTTTTTTTTTCTGATCACTTAATTTCATTCATCCATTTTCTGTTGTTATCTTAATTGATCTTGCTAACACTTCACTTTCTATTATCTATTGGATGACATCATAGTTCAGCCACATTCTATTTCTGGTTCTTTTCGCAATTTTAATTCTTAATACGCTTTGGTTACGGAGGATGGTTTATCCATGCTGACAAAATAATTCTCAAGTAGGATTTTTAAGCTCAGCATGAACTGGATTTATTTATATATTTTTGTTTGATATATCAACTCAATTAGAATTGTGCCATGTTAGTTTTGAAGTACAAGGTGATTTGAGAGTTTGACTGAACAAAATTTGATTGTCCTAACCTTAGAGGGTTGAACCTATTATTATGGAAAGTAATTTTCTTGGGCGTTTAGCACTGAGAATATATGCCCCAACTTTGTACATACATATTTTCACTAGGATCTAAAAAATTATATTTAATTGATAATATTGTTCTTTCAAAATTACATCATATTTTGTTAAGCCATTCGGTCAGTTATTGTCTCATTTAATAAATGTTTGGAATATTAGACCTTTGTCTTAATGTGCTCCTTTACAAATACCCCTGAAATTTTTATTAATTTCTATCTTTTCCCTGATTGAAAGTGATATTTAGAAAAAATTAAAAATTGCTTGTTATAGGAACCATGGAAAAGAGAATGAAACTCTTGTTTCTTGTTCTATTGGGTGCTGCCTGGGCTTGTGATGCAAGAGAAGTAGCAAACCCAGATCATTGGAACAGTAACACAGCAAACTATGGCAATTCTGGTAACATTGTTCACTGATGTCATTCTCTACCTCTTTGCTTTTAATTATCATGCTTTGGAAGACTGAGTGGAGGCACTTACTGTGCATTACACTTGCCAAATTTTAATGAGTGCCAAGTTTGTTATTCATAGAATTTACACATAAAAGTCAGATCAGATTAAACATCATAGTTTGTGGTTATTGAGGTGTAACGATTTTGTGGAATAATCTAGTATGAGAAAAGTGTTAAATTTGGGATGTTCTGTTGAAGAAATACTATTACAGTTCACCCATATCTGCTATTTTAGAAAACTCTAGAAGTACTAGGTAACATGATATTTGCTAGTTCTTCTTTCATGATAGTGAGAGAAAAAAAAGTAATGAATGTATGTTGTATGCTTCTAAATTTACATATCAATGGGAGAAAACAATTGTCCAGAAACTGGCATCAATTGGTTGTGATAAAAAAAACTTGAGTTGAAATAAAGGTCAGTGTGGTAAGTTTATGATTTATAGTTTAAACCAATAAATGTGACGTTTTTGTAAGATGAACTAAAATGATAGAAGTTACAAATAAATGTGATCTGTTGTGGGTATGCTATATAAATGTGTGGAAATCTTCTCAAATTAAATATCAGTTAGATAATGGTCTTGCATTTATTTTCACCCGTATGAAGATTTAGATAATGTTGCATGTATAAAACATAATCTATTTAGATCAATTTTTGGTTGTGTAAAACATCAATTTTTTATCTTTTTTTAGTCTAACATTGTTGATTGAGTTGCTCCGAAATCTAGTGGCTCTTCCCTTGATGAGAATAGACCACATGGTTTAACATCGATATTTATTAAGAGATTTGTTCCTCCCTTGATGAGAATTGAGCAACCTTTATAGTTTGAAAAGCAAAAGTGGCATGAGGAAGTAATTTTGTTGACCTATTTTGCAGAGCTAAGCAGAAAACCTGATATATGTGCTTGTTGTGAAGAATACACTGCCAGGGCACTTGATTATCTAAATGAAAATAAAACCCAGATTAAGATCACTGATATCCTTCACAATACTTGCTACCGGTTTAGCTCCATCAGGCAGAAGGTTGGTTACCATTTGAATCTCTTGTACATTGGGTTAGATGCTGTAGATGTTCTGAGTTGATGAAACCAACTTTAATTTCTTGTTATTCTCTCTAGTGTTTAACCAACACTCTTGGTACCCGCATCTAACTTGATGGATGATGGCCCTCAAAATGATAATTATATGTGTTAGCTTCTCATATGCAAAATAACAAAGCCCAGATTATTAGTACAGTAGAAATATGGAAAAAATCAAAATATTATTGCTTTACTCTGATGTATATGGTATGGTTACAATATATAGCCAATCTTGAATATCTTTCATAACTATGGAAAATGCAAAGAGAATAAAAGTTGTACAGTGTAATTTGTCCTAAGTACGGCTACAGGTACATGATACGCAATCTTCAAAAAATTGAAGGTATCATTATGTTAATATATAACAAAAATAAATAAAATAAAATATATGAAAATATCTAGAGTAAAAGTAATTAACAAGTTCGCATTTCACAAGTAAAGAATTGAATTTCATTGAGTAGGGAAACTAAAATTGAAAATTTGAGAGAAAGGAGAAAAAATTCTGAATTTTATCTTAAAAACTGTCTTTTTCTAGTTTTTGGAAAAAATGGTTTTGCAAGTACTTAATGGTATCTAGACATACCTCAAGCCATACCTAGTCTCATTAGAGTTTACCCAAGTTGTGTACATACTTCTGTTAAAAAAAAATTTTTTTTGATAAGTATTCGAACATACCCAATTTGTACCTATACCTGCTACATATCTAGTATGAGTATAACTTACAAAATGAAGTGCCCATACTTATAAGATAGTAACCTAGTTGAATAAGCATCAGCACATTTTAAGACATGAGAATGGTGCAAAAGTGAATGAATGAATCACAAGTTATCAGATCCTACATGAATTCGTGTTTCTTTTTATATTGCACAGTGCATCACTTTGGTAGACTACTATGCTCCTCAATTCTTCTTAGAAATAGCTTCAATTAAGCCTGGAGAATTGTGTCACAAGGCCAACCTCTGTCAAGGCATTGCATATATTTCCTTGAAAGTTGAAGAAAATAGCTGTGAGTTCTGTAAAGATACTGTTTCAGCAGCATTGGCTAAGTTGAAAGATCCTAACACTGAGGTAAGAATTTCATCTCACTGCTACTCCAGTGAAATGTCATGTGGAATGTCTTGTTTGAGAAAGCCTGCATTTTTCAGGCAAATTGAAAAGGACTGATTAAAATGTTTAGGTCTAACATATTATAGAAGTATATGCACAACTTTTTCAATTGAAATATAAATATTTATCAAAAGGGAAAAGGGAAAGAAATATGTAATACAAAGTTATTTATCATTCTTATTCTCTTTAAAACTCTATATTTTGTTTTGACCAATCCAATATCTTATTCGGAATTCCACCCCTGTTTGGTTTAAGTTATCTCTTCTTGAATTAACAACTAATCATTTATTTTAAAATTTCAGGTGGAGTTAATTGAGACATTACTAAAAGGGTGCCATTTGGTGGAAAGGTACACAGATAAGGTACGTTTAATATGATGAATCTCTCATTTTTCTTCAATTTGAATTCAATAATCTGAAGTATCAATTTTCAACTTTTATTTTCCTTGCAATGATAATTTCAGACTCAGCAAGCTCTTTACCATCAATAATTGACTCATAAAATCTTTAATTGTATTCTCATTCCACCTCCTCTAGAAACAAATTCCACAACTATTATTGAAACTGGATAGGCTATTTTGTTTTGCAACTAAGAGAAATTCTGTAGTGCTGTAAGAAAGTACACTAGAACTTAGTTTTCCTAATCTAGCTTTTGCTTTTCTTCAATTGACTTGGATATTTTTGTTAATTTTCCAAATTGCTTGCAGTGCAAGAGGATGGTCTTTGACTATGGACCTCTAGTTTTTGACAATGCAGAGAAGTTCTTGGAGATGACAGATATATGTAGTTATGCACTAAATTTCATGCCTACAAGGCTCCACCAGTGGTTGGCTAACAAGCCTTCTTTTATTTCTCTTAATTATGGAAACAACGTCCTTATCAAATTGATAGTGTACTTGTTGAGGAAAATTTCCATGTATATAATATATTAAGAAAGGAATAAAGTGTAATGGTACTTGTCTTTGGATCATAATCAGAAACCTCCTATCTGAAAATGTTGATTCAAGGAGGAGTGGGATAATTTGTGTGTAATTGAAAGGAAATTATGCCTTGTGGCAGTTATGGTATGCATTGAGTTGGTTTAATAATATTATTGAGTTTCCCGTGCAACATTATTAAATTAAAACAAATTTTTAATAATAAAAAAATAAAGATATGTTGCATAATTTTTTAATTTTTTTAATGAATTTTATAAATTAAAAAAAGAATAAATATTTTTATTATTAATAGTGAATATTTATTATATTGAATTTTACTAAATTAATGAGAGCTTTTTTAATTAAAAATATATTTTAATATTTTAAATTTCAAATTAAGATACAAAAAACCATCTTTATTAATATGGGGTCTCAACATCTAAAATTTAAAATTAAATTCAAATTAAGATTAATTAAAAATAAAGTAATATTAAATTTTAGTTTATCTAAAATAGAAAATAGTTTTTGAAAAAGAATAAAAATCAATAAAAATAAATAAATGCTCAATGTAAGAGATGGTTCTTAAAAAAATATTTTTATTTAAAATAATTTCTAAAAATATTTTTGTTAAAAATGAGAATTCAGATTTAATAATAAAAATAAATAGGAATAGAGTGTGAAAGGTGCAATTATGGGCATATGCCATGTGATTTGTTTTTGTATTTGTATTTGTTTGATATATGAGTAGTGTGTGATGGGGCAAGTTCGTGGGTGGAATTTGTGTGATCTGGACAAAGATTTTCTCTGTAAGAGTTTGGGTCGACAAGACACTTGTTGTATTTTTGTGTGAATCAAGAAAATTTGGTTTAATTTAACATACCAAGTAATTGGAAAGTCAAATTTTGAGGCTAGTTGAGCATCTAACAATGGCTAGAGTTTCTGATTGAGTAGATTTATTGGATAAACAAATGGCCAATTTGCAAACATGTAAATGGATGAGAAAATGAGGTAAGTGGGAGAAAGTCTTCTCTTAGAAATGAAGAGGTGGTTTGGGAAGAAAGTAATAGAGAAACATGAGAATTCCAACATTTTCTTTTCTAGTCATTTTGCTTTTATTTGTCTAGGTCTTTAACAATCTCAAACCAAAGCACTAAGATCAAAATTAAAAGACGTGTTAGAACTTACATTCACTTTGTGGGTTTTCAACTAAGTTATGTACATCTATATTTAAGATATCCAAGTAGTCCAAAGAACAATGAATTGTGGTTGCTTCATCATTAGGCATGTTAGTGGTGTGCTACGTTCAATGTATATGGGCTTGTCTTTGATCCATATATTTGGGCCATCGAGCTTCTAGTTTATAAATTACATTTTAGATTATCTTTTGGTTATTTTTTGTCATGCCATACTAGGCTTTGTCCTAGGCCTATAGGGTTCAATTTTGAACTTATTTAAGGCTATAATACAAATTTCGATTGAGTTTATGTTTTGGTCTTATGCAGCTACCTAAGTTCTCATAATACTAACTTTTTTTCTTAAATATACCTTGTACAAAACCATCCCATTTATTTAGTTTCTTGAGAATTGTTAACTAACTAACATATTTTTATATATGAGTATTATTAGATTAAATTTTTAAATAAAATATTATAGATATATTGTATGATTATTTTAAAATTTTATAAAATTAAAATTAATAAACATTTTAATCATCAATAATAAATATTTATTTTATTAAATATGAAAATCATAAATATAAAAATAAAAATAAAATGTTCACAGAAAAAGTCACATGACACAATTTTGAAGAGAACTACCTCATAAAAATGTTATTATTTAATATAGACCTTAAAAAAACTCTCATTTAATAATTATGATTCATATTTTTATATAGAAGAATTATTAAAATTATTAAAAAAATTAAATTTTAAATTAATATTAAATTTAAAAAATTAAATGCTCAACATAAACAAGGTTACATGACATACTGAAAAATAAAATAAAAAAAACTCCTAAAAAATTCCTATTTAAAAATTAAAACTGCATTTTATAAATAAAAATATTTATAATTCTCAAAGTTGATATTTAAAGCTATATTAGTCATTCTTAGAATATTTCGAATTGGTGGAATGAATCTGAGCTTGTTAGATCAATACTTGGTTTAATCTAATAATTGCTACACTAACTTTTTATAACTTCAAATTTAAGTTTTGATTCTTTAAAATAAAAATTAGGATGTTATAAATTGCATTTTTTTCCTGCACAAAATATAATCAAGGTTAATAATAATGTCCAACAACTATTAATTGATTATTAACGTTTTTGCAACGAATATTTTATTGAGTAATTTAAATATTTGTTTTAATTAAATTTACCATAATTACAATTATAGTTATTAAACAAGGTATTATCACATGACATAATTTACGTTGGCAAAATGTTCTTTTACATAATACGATAGATAGATTGTGATTGTTAAATTATAACCATAATTTTATTCTAAATATTGGGAGGGAGTAAAGCTTTAGCTTAAACATTATTTGTATCTACAATATATAGAATTTTTTAAAAATTAAATTCAAATGTACACATTGAACAATTTTTATTCAATTTTTATAAATATAAATATGTTGACAATTTAATATTAAGATTATTATATATCATAAATAGATATTATATTTAATTGAGTTAATATAAGATTAATTATATTTAATATTTCATTGATTTAATGTGTATCATATTTTCACTTTTTACCAAACAATTAAATTATTTTTAGACAATCAATTAGTTTGCATTTTTTTTCAAAACACATTCACGTGTACGATACGATACATGACTAATTTACAATAATAATCACCAATTGAAAAAAGAATGATCAATTACGTAATTTATCCTAGTAATAATTCATCTATAAAGTAATTCCATAAATGACTATTTTTTTATAAAAAATTTAACGTGTATCTAATATATATATATATATATATATATATATATATAAGTTTATTAAATATTATAAAATTTACGATAATGGTAGTATTAAATATTATTATGAATAATTTTAATTATAAAAAATAACTATTATTTTTTTATTATAAAAAATAAAAAATATTTTTAAATATATCAATTACTAATTTTTTTACTTTTATTTAATATAAGATTTATATTCAGAAAATACTTATTGTTTACTCATATAAACATATGCATTTATTTATTTAATATTTAAAATATTAATTTAGTCATTTAATACTATAAATATTTTAAAAATATAGTATAAATTTAAAATAAATAACTATTTTTATTAATCTTAATAAATTAAATATTTATTTTTATAATTAAAATACACATGTAATATAAATTTTAATAAAACATATTATTTATTAAATATCCTTAGACATAGATTTAAAAAATTTACTTTAAAAAGATATATTGCATGTACATATTTAAAATTATTGAAACCATGTAAGAAGAAGCTGGTTCTGCGTCTTGGCCTCCTCCTAGTTATTGCTTAGAATATACGACTGGTAATGAATTTCCTTTTTTAACTTTTCTGCTTTTTTTGTTTCCAATCAAAATCTTTGACAGATTTTTTTTCTTTTGGTACAGAGAATCTAATCTATTACAGGTTAAGGGTATTAATTTTGTTCATCAAAATAGAGCCCCACCCGATTCTGACACGTAGTTGTAATAGTGTGAAGCACACAGTTTCCTCCGTAGGGCTCCCCACACTGAAGCTTTTCTTAAGTTCCATAGGAAAGTGAGATTGCTAAGCTACCAATCTATGGAAGTAAAGATGGCAAACCAACCATTCATTGTCCCACACGACACTTAAAGTTCCAGCAAGGAATCACTACACACTAACATCTTATTTACATTCTCTTCCGTTCTTCTCTTCATTCATCTCTTTTCACGAAAAAAAAAAAAGGTACACTTTCTTCTCTTCATTCCTTGTTTATTATTTTTTTTCCAGGCAAATTCACTCAGAAAAATAGATTTTTTTCTCTTAAACTTGCCACCCACCAATCCTTAAAATTAATCATTTCCCACTAGTCTTTTTATTTTCTCTGAGCATGTAATTGTACTTAATTCTTGTGTTGTTGTTATCTTAATTGGACTTGCTACTGCTTCAGTTTCTAGTTTCTGTTGGATGACATCATAGTACAGGCAATGAGGCAAATTCTGTTTCTTTCTCATTTTTAATTGTTGGGTTATGGTTTCTTAATGCTGATAAATTTGTTCTCAGTCTGGATTTTTATTTTTTTTTCTTGAGAGGTGGAGGAAATTCAGCACGAATTGAATTGCATGCTTTTAATGGCGTGATTATATCAACTTAATTAAGAATTGTCACGTAACTTTTGAATTGTATAAGGTGATTTGAGAGTTGGACGTCATAAAATTCCATTGTCTTAACTCTTAATTAAGAATTGTGACCTTTTTTTTCTGGTTCTGTGTGTATTTATTGAGCTAGGTCCCAACTTGACATGTATTTTTATACGTGTTTAAATAAATAATATTTAATTGATGATGTTGTTCGATCTAATGGTATCATATTTCGATGTGCCGTTTAATCAATTCTTATTTCATTTAATAGTGTTTGCAATATCGAATCGCTGTCTTAATATTTTGCATTGTTTTAGCCCTGATATTTTAAATAATTTCTATCTTTTCCCTTATGAAGGTTGACATTTTAAAAAAAAATGTTTGTTTTAGGAACCATGGAAGGGAGAATGGGACTATTGTTTCTTTTTGTATTGGGTGGTGCGTGGGCTTGTGATGCAAGAGAGTTGGAAAACCTTGGCTCTTCTGGTAAAGATTGTTCACTACTTCCTCCTCTCCAAAACTAAAGACTTTTCCCTTTGTTTCAAAACTATTGTCATTTATGAAATTCAATGCATTGTCAAAAAAAAAAATTTCTATAATATCCTCATTTAGTAATTATACGGGCAATTAATTCAAAATTATCTCAACCAAGTGAAATGACAGGGGATTATTTTCTATTATCCTTCTTAGGGAGACAGATAAAGTGGAGCCATGGATTTTACATTTCATTTTCAATCTTTCATTTACTTATCAGTATTGATGAACGCACAAAGTTTATGGTGTGACAGGTTGGTCACTCGTAGATTTTACACATTAAAACCGAGAAGAAAGACAAATTGAAAAGTGGTTTGGACAATTTATAGTTTGTAATTATTGAGGTGTAACAATTTTGTGGAATAACAAAAATTGAGATAAGTATCAAAAGGATGGGATGGAAAATTGAAATACAATAGTTCATTCACATGAGCTTAAACAAATCTCCCAAACCAGTTGTTTCAGAAAGCTAAGAAAATCTAGTGGTAACATTATATCTTCTAGTTCCCTCCTTCACAGTAATGAAGGGGAAAAAAATAATGAGACTGATGACTGTATAGTGTGTACATTTGGATCCGGCTTTCTAAAGTGATGGGTTGTGCTTAATAGGATAAAGTGAACATAGATTTGTTGATATCAATAGTTTTTAATCAACAGTTATTTGTGCACTTTATTCTCTCAAATGCATTCTTTTCTCTTTAGAGAAGTCAAATCTGATAGTAGATGTACTCATAAATGGAGGGAAAAAATTGTTCATATACTGACAGCAATCCACCAATTGATTGTGATAAAGTAAGCTAAGGTTAAATTAAAGGAAATTGAGAGAAGTTTATGGTTTGTAATTCATACAAATAAATAAATGTCAGTTTTGTAGGATAAACTAAATTTATAGAAGTGACCTACCTATAAATATAGAACTATTGTGGGTGTTGTGTATAATCTAAATTTATAGGCATCACCTCAAATTAGCCATCTAAGATAAGCCAAACAAACAGGGTTCTAAAGATCATGAATGAGCTGACTTCGCACCTAAAGCTGTTTCATGCATTCTTTGAAGACTTGTGGGAATTAAAAGATGGGTGCTTCCAATACCATAGTAAATATGATTTGCTACACATGATAATATAGAAAATTCTTGGGATAAATTTTGGTGATACCAATGATTAAAACTGGATAAGGAGAAGAAATGGGAAATATATCATGTTGCATGAAGCTTAAGATAATGGCTCATGCTTTGGATTGGAAGCAATTGCCAAGTGCTTGTCTGGGAACATTTTCTCTTGTAAAATATATTTTTTCAAAAGATCTTACGGGAAGCTGGGAAAAAAAGCGAGTATTTTCTCTAAATAAGTAAATCCAAAACACACACCTAGTTTGTTCAAAGATCTACCCTGACATTTTTTGGGTATAGTGTGTTGCCCCAGTATTTCTTCTAATCTGTATTCTATTTCTGGTTGTATAAAACATACATTTTCATTAAACATTGTTGAATGAATTGCTTTAACCAATTTCAAGTGGCTCTGCCCTTTATGGGAATGGAGCCCCTAGTGTGACATCAATATGGCATTTCTTTCTCTAAGGTTGACTAATGACTTTCTTCAATCTGTTCAATGGACTTTTTTTCCTTTAGATGGCATGATATAGTGTAATGTAAGGATGAAGTAAAGAATTTTAACAGAAACAATCTTCTTTAGTTTAGTACTAAATGTAACAATTTATCCAAAATGCAAAATCCAACCTGAACAGCTTACTAGTTTTCACTAGATCACTGAAGCATAAAATACTGCTTATAAGAATAATTTTCTGTTAAATATAGATTGAAATGAAAATGTAAAATGAGACATTTATGTTTTTGACCTATCTTCAAATTGCAGAACTAAGCAGAAATCTAGATGTGTGTGGACTTTGTATAGAATATGCCTCCATGGCACTTCGTTTTCTAAATGAAAATAAGACCCATACTGAAATCATTGATATCCTTCACCATTCTTGCGAACAGCTTCCCGCTTTTAAGCAGAAGGTTGGTCACCTTTCGGATCTTATGTTTTCAGTTTTGATGCTGTATCTGTTCAAAGTTGTTGCAAAAACCAACTCTTAATTTTCCACTATGCTCTATAATGTTTAACCAACATTCTTGGCACTCTGTTCACTTTCATGGATGATGGCCTAGAAGTGTTATACTTGTATGTGCATTAGTTTGTCATATACAGAATAACAAAGGCTGGTTTTGTTGTACCGTGAACCAGCTTGGTTAAACTTGGAAAAAATAAGAGGTTTATAATAGTTTCCTAGTCAGATAACCATCAGCACATTTTAGGACTCTAAAGGATGGTTAAATGAATGAATCACAACTTATCCGTTATCACGTTGTAAGTGAATTCATTTGTTTCTTTTGTGTTGTACAGTGCATCTCTTTGGTGGACAAGTATGCTCCCATTTTCTTCTTAGAAGTATCTATAATTAAGCCTGATGAATTCTGCCGCAAGATCAGTCTCTGTCAGCAAATTGCAGATATGGCCTTGCTAGTTCAAGAAAATAGCTGTGCGTTTTGCAAAGATACTATCTCAGCACTGTTGGCTAAGTTGAAAGATCCTGACACTGAGGTAAGTAATTTCTTCTTACTGCTACTTTGATGAAGTGTGATGTGGAATATTACTTTGCCTGTACTGATATGAGCAAACTTTCTATTATTTCTAGTTCTATATAGCTTTCATCTACCACAAAACTTAGATGGGTGTTGTGTACTTCCACAACCTCCGCAACTTTAAAATGATTGTGAGGAGAATATATTGTAACTTAAGACTTTCTTTTATTTGATTATATAAATTTATAATGTTCAAGTGTAGCAGCACCGTATGGAAGTATATGCACAATATTTCAAGAGAAATAATGTGTCCCAGTGGAAAAGGGAAAGATATATGTAATATATAAATTTCTGCCATTTTTTTTCTATAAAAGGCATCTTACTATCTTTGATTTGAGTCATTTGACCCTCCAATGTCTTAATTTTAATCCCACCCCTGCTTGGTTTAAGTTATCCTTTGTTGAATAACTGCTAACCATTTATTTTTAAAATGTCAGCTAGAGATAGTTGAGAAACTACTGCAGGTGTGCAATACTGTGGAGAAGTATGCAAATAAGGTAAGAAAAGTCTGAGAAATCCCTTCATTTTCATCAATCTACAATATGAAGTTTCAATTTTCAACTTTTATACAATCAACCATTCTCAACTTTTATCCAATCAACCAAACTCCAACTATCTTCAAATACTATATAGACATATTTTTGGACTGAAGAATAGTTATTATAGGAACTGGATAGACTATTTAATTGCACATCATGAACTAGGCAAATAATGCATGCGCCACTACATGAAATTTTGTAGTGCCGTGTAGAAAGTGCCAATGAACATAATTTTTTTAATCTAGTTTTTTTTCTTTTCATCAGTGAACTAAGAAATTTTTATTATTCTTCTAAACTGTTTGCAGTGCAAGAGGATCGTGTTCGAGTATGGACCCATGATTTTTGAGAATGCAGAGAAATTCCTGGAGACAACAGACATATGCACTGTATTACATGCCTGCAAGGCTTCAACAGCAGTTGACCAACAAAGCCTTTTTTTCTAACTCTTAATCATGGAAACAAAGTTTTATCAGATTTATGGTGCACTTGTTGCTAAATATTTCCATGTAATATATTGAGACAAATAAAATATAACTTTGATATATCATCTAAAGTTGTTGTTATACTATCCAATGACGTGTTGGCACATCATTAGAAAAGTTATACTTCTTATGGGTGGTGTTGTGATACTCAAGTTTGTTAGTTGAAAATACATGATGTTTACATGCAGTTTATCAAAAGAAATTTGGAGAATATTATTAAAAAAGATCATATGATAAATAATATCTTACAATTTAGTATTATTGAACTCAATAGCATTGTGTGAAGGTTTGATTATTGTTGTTGTATAGGTTAAGCAAAATGTATAAGGTAGGAAAGGAAGGACACACCTATCTTTGATCAGAATTAAAGAATTTCAGAAATTAAGTCCTCCACTTTTACTTTCTCATTGTATACACTTTCATTTTAAAAAATAAATAAACTCCTTTTATCTTGTGTACTTTTGTTATGCAATACCTATTCAATAATTGTAAAATTCTTAAGGTGTTCATTCTAGAAGGATGCTATTGCTAACTGTTTCAGTATGAATTTCCATCTAACTAGTTTCATAATTCATTCATTTATTTGATTCTAGTTTATTTGCTCCCCACTACCAGACAAAAAATTGGTATTGTAACAAATCTATCTGATAACTGCGTGGTGTCTTTTTTGCCATAATAACTTTGCACTACTGAAATTGATGGCTCCTACATAACACAGCAATCAAGTTAAAATTTGGTTGTGTGTGGACACAACATCAAACATAGTCGACAAAGCTGCTATTTACGTTGCATTGCAATCTTTCCACGTATTGAACAATAAACTGAAAATCAGGATCTGGCATGGCAAGTGATGTGACACTGTTTTTCTTTCTACATGACCATTAGTTTTTCTTAACTTACATGGATTGGAAGCTACACTGAGTATTGTGGTCCCTCCTTGTAGAGGGTCCACCTAGGTGTGATTTTCACATGTTACAGTGAAATTGATGACAAATCGTATGGATCTGGATGTGAATCTTGTGTTGTGCTTGACACACAATGTTTGAATGAATTTACATTCTCTGGTGTTAATAAATAATATGACAAGGACATTATAGAAAACATATATAAGCAAAATTTATGAACCCGGCATAAATATTAGTGAGTCTTATTATAATTTTGAAAAATGTTAACATTATTTTTTAAAAAAATAACTAAAATTAGGAGGGTTTTTTTCAGAAAAAAAATATTTATTTGTTACATCACTAATAAAATTCTATAATCAGTTTGTGTTTTTTTTTCTTGTAACATGGTTACTGTAAACGTGAAATTTATCAAAAGAGAAATGTTAATAATACACTATGTATATTTTTTAAAAAGTTAAAGTAATTATCTCAAAAATTGATCACTTTATCAAAATCAAGTATTCTAGCATAAACTAGGAATAAAAAATAGTAGCAAGTTTTGATTGTAGCATTTAATGCTATTTAGGCATTGAATTATGTGATATCTTGTTATTTTAAATTATTTAAACATTTTAAAAATTGATGAATCACGAAAAATGTTAAAAAGTATGTTTAGTTAGAATTTATGAATCCATTGAAAAGTTGACAAAATATCCTGCCATAGTTGTGGGAGTGAAGGCATCCACTTCATCAAAGGAAATAATAATGTATATGGGTCATGTTTGCATGTAATATAACATGAGGCTACAACATTATTTCAACAATTAGGGGGAGGGTTGGTCTTGCTTGATATTATAGTCATTAGGCTTTTCAGTGATAACCTCAACTCAGCAAGTCCTTTCAGCTATACCTCTTCAACCATATACGTTACTGTTAATAACTAATGCCATGCATCCAAGTGGCAAAATGTTTCTTAGGCACATTATATGCATCATATTAAAGTCATGATTAAATTTCATTGTCAATATGCATGTGGGTTCGTTGTTAGTATGCTAGTAATTATATGATATAACAAAAATCAAGTTAATTTACAATGACACTCCATAATCTTAGGTCAAATTACATTTAGTACCTTTTTTTATTTTATTGATTCTACGTAAATATTATTAATTTATGTAACGTAATATTATATATCCCTTCAATAAAAAAATCTCTGCTAATTTGAAATATTCACCTTTCCTCATTTATTAATTGTGAAAAGTCTTTATGGAGAGAAAACAAAACATCAAGTATAATTTGACCTAAATTTAAGTAGACATGATTGAGGATATTCATTCCCTCCTTGTCATCAGGTCTAATTTTAACAATGTTAATTTAAGTGAACATACTAATTAGAATTTATAAAATATTAGAATTACTGGCTTAACCTAGCCTACAAATTAAATGAGTCAAAGAAGAAAAAGTTCAAAATACTCATGACTATTTTTATTTTTTTTGTTTAATCCAATTTATTTAAAATCTGTGGGAAACACTCACTGGCCATGATTCATTTTAACAGTTGTAATAATGTTTATTAATGATCAATATTATGTCTGTAATGCCCCGCGATATCATTGTTACCACTAATTCATTTTATTTGCATATACACGCCATAAGCCACTCATTTTTTCTTTTTCTTTTTTTTTTTTGACAATTATTTGTTCAAACATAAATTTTATGGCCAATAATGTAAAGCAACCCACCTAATTTTGGTATAGCATTGGCTAGCACTGATCAATGGCCACAATAAATTCAAATAAAATTTATGGAATGAAAAATTAATTGTCCATTAAAAAATAGAAGTCATGTTCACTCGAAAGCATAGGTTAGCATACTTATAACCGAGTTTTAAAGCATGTTTAATTTTTGTATTAAAAATAATTTTCTATTGTTAAAATAAAATATAATACAAATTTATATTATATTATATTTTTAAAATTAGAAAATTGTTTTTAAAACAGAAATCAAATATGCTTTTAATTTTTTTGTTAATCTTTTTTAAATAGTTTTTAATTTTCATTATATCTATTACATCTTTAAATTTTTCCTATATTCTCTTCTTCTTTTTTCTACCTTTTCACATCCGTATTGAGGGTGAAACAAATGTTGATATTTACTTTCTACGTACGCCACCAAATGCTGAAATCCATACCTATCTAATTTTAAAATGAATTTAAATTTGGTAAAATGATTGATTTTGGTAGAACGTATCTTGGTAGGTATAGGTTAAAAACCGTTAAAAATGTATTAATCTTTATAAAATCATTTTAATTACGTTAAAAACATTGAATATTTATAGTTTTTATTTTCATGCATGGAATCAAGCTTGTAATTAAACCTTCAAGCAAGATTCAAACTTTTCGATTCTAATTATCTTTTATTCTTTTATACATATAACACAAATATTAATTTAAACGTGTTTTAGAACAAATTTTAAATTTTTACAGCAAAATAAGGGACAAGAAAATGAGATTGTTGTTGGGTTCTCTTTCCTTGCTTTGCTTGTAGTGTCCTTAAAGAATTTATATGACGTGCTTTTGTAGAGTGATGAAGTTAATAAATAAGTTAAAGAACAGTAATTGTTGATGTAAGTTAAAAATAAAAAGTTAAGTATATATTCTTGTTTAAAGTTATATGATATCAGAGACAGTGTTTTTACATAGAAACTAATAGAGAATATCATTATCATGTTGAGTTATTCAACAAGTCATACAAGTGAACTTGAATATCATGCCAACTTAAATTTTTGAGATAATAGGTTGTTGGACACCATTCACTTATATATTACTCAAATTTTCTATTATTACTTAATGTTAAACCTTTTTTTACTTATACTTTACTTTTAATTTCAATGTTACTTTCACAGGTTAGAGTAATTAATCAACTTATAAAAAAACTTGCTAAATATTTTGGTAAAAGAACACAAGTTTCATGTTAATATAATGCAAGAAGAAAGACAGCAAACATCTTAACTTAAAGATAAATTAAGATGGCATGTGCTTTTGCTTTGTTAAAAATTAGTAGGCACTAAACCACTCAATATCTCAGAGTTCAGGGTAACTTTAGTTTTAAGTGTTTTATATGCCTGGGCATCTTGTAGTCTTGAGCATCAGTTAATTTAAATGTTATGAAATTTATTTTATTATTTTATGATAACTATAATATTTTTTATTTCAAAATCTAATCATATAAGAGCACGTTTCATTTAAAGTCATCATATCTCTTGTCAAATTATAATTCTTTTACTTAAATATTTTTTTATTAGTCTTAATATGTTTTTTATCTCCTGATACAATTGTGATTAAGGTTGACCTAAAATATTAAAGATAGATAAATAAATAATAAAATTCTAAAAAATATATCATAAATAATATTATTCACTATTTTAATAATGAATTGATTATAATTTTGATCTCAATATTTTATATATGTACAATTTTGGTCTCTTAATTTTAACTGCTCACATTTAATTTTTAAATACTCAAATATTTATTCTAAATTTTTATCTAATAATTAATACAAACATAATAGAGATATGTCATTTTATTAATTTATATAAATAAAGAAAAAATACAATATTTAAAATAAAATGTACAAAACATAATAATAGTCTTACTTTTAGAATAAATGACTTAATTTAGACATTTAAAAAATTAAAAGAACTAAATATGAGTAATTTAAATTAAATAAACTAAAATTACACATACATGAAAATATAAAAATATATATAATTAAACCTTTAATAAATTAATAAATTGTGATGGAACATATAACGTTTGATAATTTATTAAAGATACCCTTAAAAATTCATCTTTATAGTCATAATTCCGACAATATTATCTTAAAATTAATTAATTTAACCATTTTCATATGTAGGAGGTTGTCCTTCAAAATTTGTATGATTTTTCTTTGTTCGTTTTTGCTCAAAAGCATGCCCGCACCATAGATTCATTGCAGTCAACTAGGCCATATATATATATATATAATAAAACTGGAGTTGAAGTAAGCATCTCCAATCAACTTGAGTATAAATTATAATAGTTCGACAAAGAGGGTAATAATGGTATTGCAGTTCGATTCTTTTGCTATTTAAAAGAGTCAGAAGATTTGTTTCCATTTTTTTCAAAGTCATAAAACCCTACCATCATGATCCATGCCAAACGCTAGCAACATTTTATTCATATCTTTGAAGTGAAAAAATAGAGCAGACATTTTCTTTTCTTTTTGAGAGAGAGAGAAAGTAAAGCACCAACATTCATGAAGGATGGTCACCATACAATC